CTAGAAATCCCTGAGACTCTTCAACTTCTGACAATGGCTAAGCCAGCGGCTAAGCTGGACCCTCGATGGTGGTTTCGGTGTAGGGCTTGGGGCCCAATTCTAAATGTCTATTGAGTTGCTAATTGGGGCCATGTACTATAGGGGCCTTTTTCGATTAGAACAGGGGTTTGGGGCCCATTATACTATATTCAGAATAAGGAGCCCTAAGGAAGAATATCAGTAACTAAACCCATCTCCAACGCTAAACCCTAAGCCCCTTGCATAATATAGGGCCTTAATAATTAGAATAGGGTTTTGGGGCCCCTAATACTATACTTATAACAAGGAACCCCCACAATAATATAGGTACTTTGTAAGGCCCCTACACCCAAAACCCTTCTAGTAGCCCTTATAGAACCCTTTACGGAACCCTTAAAAGGAACCCTGTGAAACCCTATTCTGATTCTTAAAGCCCCCTTGTTCTTACTTGGAGGATCCTGGTGAGGGGGCCACTCGGATGCGTGGCAAGCGGCAGCCATCCGCGTGGCGTACATCATCCAGAGCCTTGGTTCTGGAACTGTCGGTTCAGGGTTTAGAGTTTGAGGTTTCAGGGTTTAGGGTTTGAGGTTAGGGGTTAGGGTTTGAGGTTCAGGGGTTAGGGTTTGAGGTTTCAGGGTTTAGGAGTTTAGGGCTTGAGGTGCAGGCATTAAGGTTCAGGGATCAGGAGTTTAGGGTACAGGGTTTGGGGTAGTTCGGGATATAGAAGGTTTTTCCAGGTTCAGAGCCTGAGCTTTAAGGGTTGGGGTTTAGGGCGATTCGGGATATGGGTAGTTCTCTAAACTAGGGTCCCTTTTTAGGTCCCCACTATAGTACGGCACCCTTATAAAAGGACCCTGAAAGGGACCCTAACTTAGAAAACTACCCATATGGGTCGTCAGATCTACTTCTCAGAGTCTGAGGCTGCCGCACAGCAAGGACTCCAAAGCCAGAGGTCGAAGAAGTTCTACGGCTTGATAAGGGCGAAATATGGCCATAACAAGGGCTTGACACGGCTTAATAAGGGCTTAATATGACCATAATGGGGCTTAGTATGGCCATAATTTGGGCTTTTTATGGCCATAATTGGGACCTAAGTTCTACGGTTTAGGGTTTAGGGCTATCAGAGTTTGGACCGTAGCTTGTCCCGACCTCAAACCCGAAGCTCCAAATCGAGCTTCCACCCTTGCAAACAGGAACACCCTCTATTTATTTCTGGCCTGTCTTTGGCTTGTAAAGGCTGTTTAGGTCCAAACTTCCCTATGGCATATTCCCAGTCACGTGTGGGCGATGAAGAAGCCGAGGGCACCAGCCAGGCATATCTTCTTCTGTGTTCGGATCTTAGTTGTCTTAGGCTTTAGGGATTTAGGGTCCCAGGATCATTCGCCACACTGCTACCGCAGGAGGTACAACTCCCTCAGTCGCATGCCCTCTCGATTGCTTTCGCCAGCTTCTTCCGGCTTTTGATATCAATCGCCACCTCCGGAAGCCAGAGCAGCTGAGGATTATGTGTCGGCTTTGTTCAAATTATATTATATGGGCTTGTTGTTCTGCTCAACAAACACGTCTACCGCGAATCGGCTGTAGAGCAATCTCCGCGTGTAGAATACGTGGGTAGTCCAGCTGAATCCGCAAGTCCTATGCATGTCTCCTTGACATGCTTGCGCTTGAGTGCTAGTACACTCTCCCCTGGATCCACCACGTTGTCGTCACCACCATCATTATGATCAGACATTGTGGTCAGAACCCCATCACTGAGTACATCAGGACTGAAGGAGCGGTACATCTTTGTTCGGAGAATGACCATGCAGCTGAGATCAGACGTCACAACATTCCAGCTACAAAGCAACCGCCATGACCATCCCGAAGACAGTCACAATCAGGACAAGGCCAACAAACCTCAATAAAGCACCGAAACTACAACGGCTTCAGCCCCAAAGCCTACGTGCTACGAACAAGCACAACAACACTCACCCGATTGTTCCCTCAGAGACAGTTGAAGTACGCGCCCGAAGGCAACAAGGCAAACAACCGACACCCTCGACCCTGAAACCCCAAACCCTATAGCCCTATATGGTCCGACTTAGAACGTAAATGCCAAAAGCGATCAACTCTCCAAACCTGCCCGCGAAGACCTCTAAGCCTCTAAACCCTAAACCCTGAACCCCAAACCCTAAGCCTGCAAACCCTAAACCCTGAACCCCAAACCCTAAAAGCCCCCGAAACCCCAAACTCCGAAACTGACCTCGCCAGCTTTGAAGTCAAGAGCTCTCCAAGCCGCCAGGCAGCACCTCTCGGAATCTTCTGGTATCGGAGTTTAGCGCTCAGAAGTTATGGCTTAGGGTTTAGGGATTAGGGTTTCGGGTGTAGGGGTCGAGGGATTAGAGGCTTAGGGTTTGGGAGTTGAGGGGTTTTAGGGGTTCAGGGTTTGGGGTTGCCGGGGCTTGTGGGTTTTAGGCCTCAACCCCAAAGCTCTCATCCCTGCACTTTGCACTTAGCCCCTGCACCCTTTTAATACCCTTCCGAGGAACCCGTGAAGCAATGCCCCTAGAGCGATACCGTTAAGGCGATACCCTTAAAGCAACCCTGAGAGTGCTACCCTTAGAAACAAGCCTTTGACAACCCGTAAAGTGACCTCCTTAAAGCAACCCTTATTAGAGCACTACACTGAAAACAGCCCTTGCAACGCGATACCCTTGAACATCCCCTTTACCAAAGCAACCCCTGAGGCCACTAGAGGGCCCAGGGATACTACAACTACAGTAGCAGCGGTGTCAATCCCATGACGGACAAGAGAAAACGACCTCCAACAACTCCAACTTCTCCAACTGTGCTGGAGCTACTGCCGATTCGCATGGTCAGTGCTGTGACCAGCACGGCCGCCACCACTGCTCTGCTTCTGCTGCTGCTGCTGCTGCTGCTGCTCTTACAACTACTACTTCTGTTACAACTGCTGCAAAAGTCATCATCAAAGTGGACTGTCGCCACTCTAAGGATCTTTGCCATCTTTCTGCCTGAGCCTTAAGCCAAACCCTTCGTCCCAAGGCACATGGAGCCACTCAAGAGAGGTGAACCGCCGACTTGTGAGAAGAAGACCAGGACGAAAAGGATACCTCCAGGGTTATCCGCTCGCACTTTGCATACGCTATGCGCCGAAGAGACTAGGCTGGCCTTTGAAAGCCTTTGAACAAATACTCGTCAACAAGATAATCCTTGGCCTAACAAGGGAAAACATGAAATTGCCCAAAAGCCTACCTAGGAGAGGTCCGGGCGTGTATCTTGCTGGCAGGTTCTTGAGTTTGGCTGACATGCTGCTAGCAATCGTTTTAGGATCTGCAGTGTTTCAGGTATGGGTATGCCTTTTCCATGGACATCTCTTGGCATGACTCAGCAAATGAGGATCCCCAACTCCAGCAGATTCTTTGTACGTAGTTCTGCACTCGGCTTCCGAGGAGGGTCACGATACCGGGTGTTCAGCATTTTTGGAGCCACAGAAGACGGACAACTTCCAGCCAAAATATCCTGGACATCTTATCAGACGCCTAACGCAGGGGCCACAAAGACTAGAATAAGATTTCGGGATATGTTCTAGGAGAACTATGAAGGGATCATAAGGCTATAAGGGATGGAGGTCTCTGTATCGGGCTTCTGGATTTCGGGCTACCAGTTCCCCGAGGATACTTTCCGCGAACGACATGACACTCAGCCAACAGAACACCATCATCCCCACTGCTTTAAAATCTGCCCGAGTGGTATCCTTCAACATGGAGGTAATGAACAGAAATTCAGAGAAAAAAGTGGGGAGAGGACAGATTGTTCTGGAGTTGTGCAGACTGTAGCATTACTCCATGGTCTAAAGCAGCATCACCCACGACTCAGTGTAGTTTTCTAATCCAGAATGTCCAACTCAGCAAACTCCCTCATCAGGACTCCCTTGCTATCTTCGCTGCTTGGCGAGCCACGGCTTAGGGTTAAGGGTTGTAATCGGATAAACCCCCACCATCAGAACCTTGAACCCAACACCCATGCCGGATGATACTGGTCACATCAAGTGATTACCCTCGTACTATACTCTACTTATACTCTACTATACTCCACTATACCTTACTATTCTATACCTTACTATACTACAAACTATAAGATACGATGACTCGACGATGACTATCCACAGCAAAATGTGAGGAATCGGCCTGGAAGTGTCACGAAGACTGTGATGGACTGCAGGTACCCAGGCAGGCAGGAGCGGTTGAGGACGGCTTTCCTCGAAAAATCGGGCTGTAGCCTCTCTCCAACTGCGGAAATACAACATAAGAACATAGAGAAAGCGTGTAGTATAGTGTGTTGCAGGGTCGGGATAGTGTAGGATAGTATCGTTGTGTTTTGTATAGAACCTTAGAAGTGCCAGCATCGAAAAGATGACGGTGTCATCACAGCCATCATCACTGCTATTTGCAACGTGACCATCGCCATCCTCAACATCCACACAACCCATCATCGTCGTCGTTTAGGGTTTGGGGTATCGCTAATACTATGATCATCGTCATTCTCACCAGGAACATACTCGCTGTTAAAACCATGTCGTGGAAGCAGTACAGCAGTAACTACTAGCACCACGGCTGCGGTGATGTCGACAACGGCTACTACGAGTGCTGCTGGTGCCACTGCTACTCGTGTTGCTACGGCTTCTGCTACTCCGCTACTCCTCCTCCTCCTGCTTCTGCCGCCGCAGGTGCTACTGGTACTTGCGCTGCTACAGCTACTGCTGCTGCTGCTACTACCACGCCGACGACTTTGCCAATGAAATAGGAACAAACAATACTCAAAGAGACCAATTCTCCCCTGCAGCAACCAGGTGCAGAGCTCCTTCACTGAAAGCGACTGTTGGAGTCGACCGTGCTGACGCTAAACTTACGAGCCACCCCTGTAACAACCAGACACACAGCATGTGAGTGCATATACACATGATCATCGTGCAAGCAGTCGGGCTACAGTGGGATTGCATGGGGCAATGGAAATACGAAGCTTTCGGGACACCTCACGATTAAAGCAGAGAGCGAGAGCAAACAATCTCTGGACAAAAACATTCTTGAGCCTGAATCGTTGTACCAGCATGGCCGGGCTGCACATTGGCCACGCCGGCGGCCAGGCCATCTACAACGCCGATGATCAGCCTGACATCTTCGAAGTGAATCCAGGATTGAGATTTCAGATTCAGATAGATTCAGATCATCTAGGTACCAAGCGGGTTCTAGAAGGGCCTAGGGCCTAGGGCCTAGGGTTTCGGGTTACTGCCTCTGAACCTCTGATTCACCCCATGCTGCACGCTAACTAATCGAAATGGAAGTCTGGTCAGCCAAGCATCGATGCCAATGGCAAGGAGTAGGAGACAGCACAGTACATGCTCACAGCTGTGGTCACCAGGATGTAGCCTCAGTTTCTCTGTAAACGCTTGTCACGAAGATTCTCACGGCCTTGGGAGGTGGCTTTGAAGGCGTCCGCTGCACACGAGTATGGCCCTGTTATGATTATTATCATTAATATTATTGCTATTGTTATCATTATGCATAAAGTTTCCTACCTGCAAGACTTCCCAAACTCCAACGAGCAGCAGAAGGCGCACATCTTCATGGCAGCAATCATCAGAGACTTGAAGGTGCAAATCGCCTTCGAGGCAGTCGCCAAAAAAACGGTTCATGGCTGCGTCTGTCTCTGAGCACAAGTTCTCGAAGCCCAGACTCCAACCCGAGAATTCAGAAGCCCCAAACCCCAAACCCAAACAGAAATTACTGTCAAGAGCCCCTGTTGGGTCGTGGATGCTTCCAGCATGGAACATCGAGCTCCCTCCGGTCCTGCCGCCCCAGGCCCCCGGCGACACTGCCGAGGTCTGGCATGCCGAGCTCCAGCAACTCCTGGTGGTCAGTGTGTAGTTGCTAAGCAGAGCCAGCTGGGCATATGTACAGGCTGTATATGCATTCACAGACACATGATTACACACACACACACACATCCTGTATATACGCATGCACATGTACAAAAAGGCTGCATAGTTGTGTGGCAAAGATAGGGGGGAGATGTGCTCCACAGTTTCCACCATCAGCCTTTACAGCTATTCTTCAGGACAAGTGAGATCCGCCGATGCGCACGGAGAGAGTCAACATCAAAAACACCGTGGGCCTGACCAACCCAAGCGAACAAAGACCAAACCGCGCCCGGTCTCTCAAGAGGAAGCCCGGCTCTGAGGATGTCTCAAGGAATGTCAAGTGCAAACTCAATTATTTCCCCGAACTCTGAACGGAATTGCCCTCAGGACCTCCGCTTGCGGGGGCATTCCCAAGAACTCTCCGTCAGAAGCCACCGCGAGAGCAGCTTTCCTCCTTGCGGAATGTGGGTTTGAAGCAATGAAGGACTAAGGGTCTGAGGCGTCCCTTCTAAGTGTTGAGGTTTAGGGATTGAACCCGGGTTTTTCGAGTTTTGAACTTGGGCTTCGTCGGACTCGTATCCCCTGAACCTCTGATTTCTTGTTGCGGCACGAGTAGAACAAGCCCCTACGGTGGTTGCATCCCTTGTGCTCTTGCCATGTGGGGCTGGGATCGAACGACAATTGAGGGATTCATCAATACGACACACTATCAGTCACTACCACCTCCATGACGACTGTGACTGCGACGACAGCTACCACGACGACGGGGATGAGGGGCCGGTGTTTCTTGCCTAGACCAGCGTGCCTTCTTTGCTTCGCCCGCGGTGTTTCGCTGCGCAGCAGTTGGGAGCTTTGCTTACCCTGAGATGGAAGGCCAACAAGTGAAATGCTTTTGGTTGGGGCTCGTTTGGTTGATGACCGCTTGAAGCGCTGCCACTATTTTGCATCTAATTATCGCAGAGCTCAGGGAAAGTGTGGTGCATCGCATGTCAAAGCAAGCAGGACAGAGTCTTACAGCTCTGCTAGTTACGGCAGGCTTGCTTTATTAGCGAACCCTTGGGACATCCGTTGGCGAAGCTTGTGCAACGATCGCAGGTTCAGGTAGTTGCGATGCCGAACTAGCTACATAACCTAAACCCGAAACTCCTAAACCCTTTCCCCTGTTTTGTCGCAGACACCGGCATGGGCCAAACGAACTCCTCGCTCTCGGCAAGCGAAAAGCCTTCGGTGATCAGGCTGCTGAAGGTTTGGGGATTATGGTTTCGGGATGTGGATGGGGGCTTCGTTCTAATTCGTTTCTCGTAGACGCTGTGCTACTCTCCCTGATAGCAGGATTGCTGCCTGCAGCAGAGCTCTACAACACCAGAAACAACACTGGTTTCCTTGCCGCAATAGTTCGCCAAGCTGCAGACACATATCATAGTCAACTTGGCGACTCACTTGAACATGTCGTGATGCTGTGAAACAGCATAACCAAGTGCGATGAACGTTGATAATGCGAAGGGCAATCTAAACTTGAACCTGGAACCCTGCAACTTCCAATCCCAGAGCATAAAGCCCTTATCGAGCTCTGCAAGTATCCTGAGCTGAAAAACCCTGCACACTCGAAAAAACAACGAAACCTTTGATCATGGTATTCTGATGCCATGACACCCTGCTTCGCCGTCTTTCTGCTGTGAGCTGAAGCCTGGTTCTGGTGCAGACCGGGTGTGTATAATGTAGGGGCCTTAATAATTAGAGTAGGGTTTTGGGACCTGTTATACTATACTTATAATAAGGAACCACCCCAAAATAATATAGGTGATTATTCAGGCCCCCACTTTATGGCATCTTAGGGTTCAGAATGCGCGGGCCCCAGCCGGCCCAATAGCAGGTCTTGGGCCGAAGCTGGGCAGCTTCTGCTCATTTGCCATCTCCTGTTTGCTCTTGAGGATGAAAGTACCACTTCAGGCTTGCGGGCGATACTTCGAAATGTGATAGTCGTTCGTAGGAGCAGCGGCGGCGGAAACAGCGGAAGCAACAGCAGCAGCGAGTGCTACTGCCATGATTGGAAGGAACCCGCTGAGCAACGTCTATAGCACCCTTCGATTCCAGTCTCTGGCGTTTTGAAGGGTCCGGCAGCGAAGGAGTCTTGGGTAGAGGTGGCTGTGCGATCTCGTCTGCTATCATGAGGGTAGGTTGTAACTGGTAAAAAAACATCCATGAAAATAATAATAGCACTACAAACAGTACCCAAACGACAGCGATGGCGATGTCGAGGGCCAAGGCTATCTGCTACGTCAAAGCCTTCTAATGCTGCGCTGCCCCCGGCCTTTGCAGCTCGTCGCTCCTGCTGGGTGATGTTGCTGTATGCCTGGCGTCGTTCTGTCAGCGCAAGGTGAGCATGTGCAGGTGGTCTATGAGCTAGGCACGCCAGAACAAAAGTTTACAGGACTGGATCGCCACCATCGCCACATGCTGCCACCACCGCCACCGCCACCACCAACACCAGCAGCAGCAAGAACAACAACCGCTGCAGCTTCTGATGCAATATCAACGGAGCATCAGCAAGAGCAACGGAAGCAAGAAGAAGAGGGGTCGCCATCTCTAAACACGGTAAGGACACGTCAAAACACACTTCAAAAGCAAGCACAAGAGCATACACAAAAGCAAGAACAGTTCAAGAACAGCAACACCGTAAGCCGGGCCTGGATCAGCTTTCGGCGCAAGGAAGTAATTTCAGGTTCGTCCTTCCACGGCGATGCAAGAATGGATCCCGAATACTGAACTGTTTTTGGGAGTGCGGGGGACATTATGGTATGACTACTCAGGGACTAAATGATTACATGCGCAGGTACGTATGGGAGCGTTTGGATTCTATGTCGCAGCAGTCCGCAGTGTGCCTCCTCGCGAAAGATGAACGCGGCACCCCAGTCGTTGAGCCACCCCGAGCCTGGGTTCCGGATGGTTTTTGCGCATCGGGTCCAGCTTTGAATGCACCGAGTGGGAAACCTTGCTGAAGAGATGACCTGTGGGGACCTGCCCTTTTTTGGATTTCTTTTGGGCTCGATGCCAGACCTCATGTAAAATCTTGAGATGTAGACGCTGCATTGCATGACCTGGAAGCATGTGACATAGAAAGCCCTGTTGTGACCTTCGGCCGTTGCATTTCTCAACATAGCTTCCCGTCAGTACTAGTGCGAATACCTGTAGCAGTCCAACAAACCTCTCCACATGCTTGCATTTGTTTGTGAAGAGAACTCTTTTTCTGTCTTCGAGAATGTTCTCGTGCGTCGTGGTGGTTGCCCTTGTCCTTGCCGTAATGGCACCGTGTGGTTGCAGATTTTGTGTAGCTTAGCAGTAGCCGCAGCCGCAGCTGAAGCCGTGCCCGTCGTTGTCGTCGCTGTGTCTCGGCCGTCGTGGTCGCCGCAGCAGCAGCGGCAGCAGTAGTAGGAGTAGGAGAAGGAGTAGGAGTGGGAGTAGGAGTAGGAGTAGTCATAGTAGTCGGAGTAGTCGTAGTAATCGTAGTGGTCGTAGTAGTCGTAGTGGTCGTCGTGGTAGTAGTAGTAGTAGTCGTCGTCGTCGTCGTCGTCGTCGTCAGAGTAGTAGTAGTAGTGGTAGTAGTAGTAGTAGTAGTAGTGGTAGTAGTAGTAGTAGTAGTAGTATTAATAGTAGTAGTCGCAGTTAGTGGTAGTAGTGATAGTCGTCGTCGTAGTAGTAGTAGTAGTTGTAGTAGTAGCAGTGGTAGTGGTAGTAGTAGTAGTAGTAGTAGTAGCAGCAGTAGTAATAGTAGCAGTAGTAATAATAATAATAATACAGTAGTACAAAAAGTAGTAATGGTAGTAGTAGTAATAAAAATAATAGTAGAAGTAGTAGTAGTAGTAGTAGTAGTAGTAGCAGCGGTGGTCGTAGGAGTGGTAGTAGTAGTAGTAGTAGTAGTAGTAGTAGTAGTAGTAGTAGTAATGGTGGTAGTAGTGGTGGTAGTAGTCGTCGTCGTTGTCGCTGTAGTAGCAGCAGCAGCAGCAACCGCCCGGAGCAGGAGCAGCAGCACCAGCAGCAGCTGCAGAAGCAATGGCAGCAGCCGCACAGCTGCAGCAGCAGCAGCCGTGGCAGCAGCAACCATTGCTATCAAGGCAATCAATCCCAATCCTTGCCGCTGCTCTTTAACTTCGAGTGACTATGCTGTGCTTTGAGCAATGATAGCCCAAGGCACGTCAGCCAGCTCAGTCAGCTGTCCACGGCAGGGAGGTCACCAGGAACCTCGAAAGTGAATCAGCACGGTCTTGTCCTGCCACAAGCTGATGGATTCTGACGGGTTGGGGGTTCAGCGATTTTGGCGTGTAGAAGCATTGCGACCGGCGGCTTAGAGCGGAGTTGTTGAAGCCTGTGATAAACTCCAGATGTCTGAATTCGACCTGAACCCGAGATCGGAAACCACTGAGCATTCAAATTAAGGCTGCGGATTCAAGCTGAAAGTTTTGGAGCTCACCAAAGCCGACGGGATGAAACATTGGGTGATATCGAAGGCTCCTAAAGCCAGGCTAGACAGTGAAATGTCCTGTCTTCGTTAGCAGGAGGATATTGCGCAGGATTCGGCTTGGTTTGAGGCCGTTGGGAAATTCATCTTCTGCCGGGAATGGTGATTCATGTAGACTCCCACAATCTCTGCATTAGTCAACTCGCATTCTAGCTTCGCGCAGAGCATGCTTTCATGTGCTTCCAGTAAGAAAAGGCTCCCGTGGTATCTTGTTTCAAGCCAGACCTGTTTCAGGGCCCTAGCGACGACGACAAACAAACCAGCTCGCTTGAAAGAAACCCCGAAGCCAAAGCAGGCTAAAGTGGGGACTGTCTTGGGCCTGACTGATACACCTCGACCTCAAAAGCTTGGGTCCTGTGCCGCGAGGTCGATACCTCTGCCATGCGAAAGTGAAACTTGTGCATGTGGGGAACTGCGTATGTATGTATCTGCGTATGTATGGTATATATCTATGCACGCATGTAAGTCTGTATGTATGCACGTGCGTATAAATGCATGCATGAATGCATGTACGCATGTTCGTATGCGCATGCATACATGCATGCATTTATGTACGAATGTTTGCATTTCTGCATGTATGCTTACATGTACGCATGCAGATAAGTACGTCATGTATGTATGCATGTATGCATGCATGCATTTATG